GTCAGATTTACATATCTGAAGGGAAGACGCAGATGCTATAGCATACAATGCTACGATGCTATTGCGCTACGGCAAGATTGTCCAGCGAAGGGCCCTGGCTGCCATTAGCGGACGTAGAAGGGTCTCCGGCCGTAAGACTGGAGGTGGTCTGTAAAAGGGCCAGCAGTGGCGATAAAGGAAAAGAGATTAGTAAAAGTAATGAAATTCAGAAGAAACGAACGTTAGGATTCTATGGATTGTGCATGAACAGAAAGTATGTTATTCATACACTTTTTGTAAAAAAAAAGATATTGAATGTTTAAAACATACGCTGTGCGTTTCCGTTGCTCATCTTTCGTCTCCATTTTTTCAATAATTTGTTGCCTGCGCCTTCTGAGTTCCTCGATTTTTTTCTCCTCACTTTCCTCCGGATCTTCCCATTCCACCGAACTCATGCTGCTCTCACGATCGTGATGCTCCTTCTTTCGATCACTAAAATGGACGCTACTTAAAAATAACTAAAAATATAAAAAAACAAGAAAACTTATGTAAAAAAAATATAATTTTAGCAATAATCGAGATCTAAATGAGTTATACCCAACAGTACTTAGGTATCTATGAGCCCTTCCAGAAGAAAATATAGAACTGTTCAAGAACTATTCCTTCCGGAAATAAAGCAAACATCAAAATGGGAATATGTTGACAAGCAGAGGTGCTACGGCGCCGATCATAGCTAGAAAAGTTGCTAGTTACAAATAGGCGGACCCAGAATGGGTTCCTACGGAGAAAGGGGGGAATGAAGAGAAGTGCGAGAGTTTTCTTCAGTTTTAGTACTGCTCCTCCCCACTCTCCCCCTCCCCCCCGCTGGCCCCGTCAATACTAGCTACTTCAACTGGAAATCGACGAGTTGAAACACAGACGTCGCCTACTCTAAATACCGGTTTGCATACCTGAGATACCTAAATGCCCTTTTTTGGAGTTTGACCAAATATTACAATTCGACTGTTTTTCCTTTGTTGGTCTACACTATGACCAAATTACACATGTGGCCGTAAGAAACGTCTTAACCCGTCTTGCTTCAACCTTTTAAAATTTGTTAATTTCATTATTTTCATTAGCAATTTAGTGGCATTCCAAATTTTCCAGTACTCGAGTTTTTGAAACACTGCAACCAATACGGCTATGTACTGGAAAATTTGGAACGCTACTAAAATGCTAATGAAAATAATCAAATTGACAGTGTTAAAAGGTTGGAGCAAGACGGGGTAAAGACGTACCTTACTAAGGCTGCATGTTTAATTTGGTTATTGTGTAGGCCAACAAAGAAAAAAACAGTCGAATTTTAATATTTAGTGAAACCCAAAAGAGCCATTTA